GATGTGCCCGTACAGTCAGCTGTGAGCTGAAGAAGGAGGGGCCGGCAGGGTGCTGGCCCTGTTTCTCTGGGAGCGTGACGTCCCCGGTGGCAGGAGGTTTGGCTTCTGGCTCGGTGGCAGCCTGGCCCAGGCTCTGAGGGGATGTGACCCACCGAGCCTGGCAGGGCCCCGGGCCCCGGCAATCTGCTGCTCCCTGGATACTGCTGGGCAGGGCTTCAGGGCGACGCCTTGTATGTCACAGCATCAGGAGAGTATCATGCCAAGAACCACATAAACAAAGCAAAACATTGAAGGTCCCATATGATGCTCATTTTCAGGTTCTGATCATATCCATCTTTACATTCCTACTCTTTGATTTGTTGGGGGAAATTCTATTATTCAAGTTATTAAAGCGAAACCATGACAGAAGTTTGAGGGTTTAATCAATATGCTGCATTTCATTTCATAAGCCCATCATGTATATTTTTCATGTAAAGTCTTGATCCGTACAATAAATAGCAGCTATAGCGGTAAGATAGAGTAGTGGAGTAAAGAGTACTGTAGAATGTAAAAAAACAAAGTGCTGCTAGACGATTCATGTCTCTTTGAATTGTAGTGGAGTAGAAGTATAAAGTAGCATTAAATGGATCTACTCAAGTAAACAAAGTACCTCAAAGTGGTATTTAACTTCAGTACCTGAGTAAATGTACTGTTAAACAGTGTTCCTGTAGAACTGAGGTCTTTTGTCTGTGTTCTGGGTGAACTGACTCTTTGATTCTCAATTCCATTTTGTTGTCAAGATTACGTTCTTTTAGAGAAAAAGGAGATTAAAGAGGTTCAAATTAACCTTTTTAAGGCTTGTAACCTTTAACCAACAATAGGAAGTTTGATCGCTATGAGTTATACAATTGAAAGAAATATTAAGGCTTGTCAATTAAAGCAGGTGGCAAGCAAGACACATGGACTTCCTATAGACTGCACAGGACGACAGATAAAGTCATCAAGGTCTCCTCATACAACAGTTCGTGTCATGTCTTCCTCGTTTACTCCTTTTTCATGTGTTTTCTTATGAAAGCCAGCAACACATGTCGATTTCCACTGCGTTACATGGATACGGTCTTTTCTAAATAAACTCCCATCTTCACAGGAAATTTAGGCAACAAAACGAATTAATTAGGTTTCTGAAAAGATTGTCGTTTGGGTTAAAACAACTAGAGAAGTGCTGTTACTGAAGTACACAAGTTCCGTGAGAAATAAATCAACATTGTCTGGCTTGCTGTTCATTTGACCCATCCACTTCCCCTCCCTCCCGCTCTGCAATCTTTACACTTCCTCATTCATGATTACGTGGGTAACATACAAATCCCCAGCAGGACATCTAGCCATTATCTTCCGTAGGTGTTTGCTACGAATGCAGGAAGAGAACTGCCTGAACTAAGTGATGCGCTGGAGACTTACTGGGAAAATGGGTTGCATGTGTCCACGACAATGCACGCAACATCACGGCTGCTAACTCTCACACATGGGTGAACTGGGGACGCGGTTACTGAAGCTGGTAGTAAATTATGGATTGAACCTGTTTGTGCATCCGTTATTGTTGCAGCTGTGCAGCTTGTTTGGCACTTCAACCCCAGCTGACCCTATTCAAGTCTGTTAGCGGTTAGCGGTCGGTTTACGAGGGTCGACTAACGGTCTGAAAAAACATAAAAGAATTTGCATCCCTAATGCTGCGTTCACGCCAAATTCATCGCGAATTCATCGCGCCGCATATTCGCGTCAATCGCGCCGCCGGTCTCGCCGGGGACCATTTGTGTACATTCGCGCGAATCGCGCTGGACGCGCCGGAGAGGGGGCGGGGCTTATCGACCTGGAAGCCGTTCAACTGTCCGCCATTAACCATGAAAAAAATAACCTCTATTTCTGCTTAGTACGTGTTGTGGAAGTCACAGATATCCCGGGAAACTAAACGCCGTCATGTCTGGTTCATAATATTGTTCAGAGGAGCTCCGTGGATTTTATCGAGCTGTGTTCACTGTGTCTAGTGAGCCACAGGTCGCTGTTTACTACAGTTGTATGAACACTAAATAAACTGATCTGGCTGTGATTTAACGGCAATAAACCGACAAAAAGGGACTCCGAAATAACTACGTAATGATGCCGATGTGTAGGCTACTTGTCTTCTCAATGGAGCTCGGTTGAACCGGTGCTATGCTAAGCTAACATTGTAGCAGCTCCACCAACACTCCATAACGTCATCTAGACATAAATACGGCAGCGTCTATTCATTGTTTGTACCATATGGTTTACACACACACATTTATACACATAGTTTGGTCCGGTCTCTATTGATATGAGGCATCATAGAGCTCTGGGTGAACACAGACGGCTACAAGATTTATTTCCTGATTCAACAACGGCAGGAAGTCAGTGATGAGAGGGGGAGCAACTTAACACTGATAGGCTATCGCGCCGGGGCGTAACGCGAATATTTCGCCGAAGTTGAAAAATTTCAACTCACGCGTTTGGCGCGATGGACGCGAATTCGCGTCCATCGCGCCGCAAATTCGCGTCCATCGCGTCGCGCCATCGCAAATTCGCGCCGCGGCAGTGTCATTACGCCTGTGCATAGACTTTGTATGTAATCTACTCGCGCGAATAATTCGCGCCGCATTTGTTTGAAGTGTGAATGTTGCCAATATCAATATCGTTCGAACTCCACACCACTTTCTGCTGCTCACTCACACTGACTAGAAACCATCAGCTGTATGTCAGAAGTCAGGGGACAGATCCAATGTGTGATGCAGTGCATAAAGAGCAGAGAGACAGACGGGGTCGAACCTGCTAATGAACCTGTTAATGTGCAGCCCCACCAACCTCTGGCAAGACTAATTTGTTGCAATTAGAGGCTGGTTTTCCCATTAAACCGGAGATAAAGAGTTGTAAATAATGAGCCAGTCATTGTCCTCTCAGTGCCCTTTAGTCCTGTTGCCACTTTAATTAGCTGTGTGATACTATGAGCTGCACCAGCGGTCTTTCTGTCCCCCTGTCTCCGTCTCGCTGTCCTTTTTGGTTTGATGTGGGTTTTAACGAGGCTCTCCCGGGAGTCTCAGCTGACGACGGTAGACTTTTATGGCCAGCTGCACATGGGTTGGAGCCACTGGACTCCTAGAAGGGTTTGTCAGCTACTGGGGGAACTCAAGGTGGAAACACCTGCACGATTGGATGCAATGCCTTTTACACACGGGCTGTTTTTTTCGTGCGATTATATCAGTAAACTTGTTTAAACTGTTGTCTTAGTCAGAAGCACTTTCACACAAAATGCAAATAAAAACAAAAAAGCTTTTGCACTGCGAATAAAGGTATCAACCAATTACGTTGTGTGTAACAAGTTGTGTGCCAAAATGAATGAAACAACAACACCAAGACGGCAAACTGTATTAGTCTATTCAGCTATGACAAAGGCAGCGCAGAACCAGATCCACTCCTTCCATTCTTACCTTTCACAATAAAAGCCCTAGACACATAATATTTGCAGGCGAGTATTTAGCATTTTGGTGTTGTTTATGCGGGACGCCCCCGGTGAGTTAAGGCCTTAAGGGGGCTGTTCCATTTTGAAGCCTCCTGTTTTAAAAGTAGATGAGAAAATAATGAGCTGAAGTGGAAGTGTGTGCAAAGTGGCATCATGAGGCTTTTTGTCAGTAATTCTCTCTTTTTCTAAATTGTCGGCCCCTTTAAACCACCTCCCATTCCCATTACTCCCATTTCATGCACAACCTCAGGTTTAGAAACAACAACAACAGTTGATGCTTTTTTGTGTGATTCATTTTTTTAAGTAGTCGGAGCCGCTTTTAAAATGCAGCATTAGAGCAGCGAGACACCTGCTCTGCCTGGTTAGCGTGCAGGTGTGGGGGAGGATTCCAGTTCCAGCAGGGGGACAACTGCTGCCTTCTAAAGCTTTTAAGCTGGACGGGTGGGGGGGAGATGTTTCCATTCAAACACCCGCATCTCTGTTTCTTCCTCTTTTTGGGCTGACAAAAGGAATAATGTTGCACACTGTCACATACTGTTTCTAATCGTATATTTTGATATTTTGAAGTTGTGATAGCTGCAGTTGTTCACTTGTTGTTATTGGTTTACTAATCTCACTAGTTAGTTAATGAAAGATGATATTCAGCTTGTCTTTTAGGATTTTCTTGGAAAAGAAAAACAAGACTTCTGATCCAATTCCTCGTTTGTGTCATTTACCAAGTGAAAAACCTAAAAGATGTCGTCTCACAGCTTCTCTAAAGATGGTGTAAGCGATGTGATGAGTGTCATTAGTTTTAGACAATAAAATCAAACAAAGTCAATAGATTCTATCGGCTGTCGTCCATGTTTAAAAACGACATCGTTTGTACACAGCGGCCTCGTCACTGCTCTTCATTCCTGGTTGTATTTCTCTGCTGTGACAGTGAGGCTGGTGCTGAGTCATCACGAGAACATGTGGTCACAGAGGAGGAGGTTATATGTCTGCCTGTCTGTCCGTGGACAGCTTTTGTTACCCTAATAGCGTCTGTGGCTCTCAATAAATATTTTAAATATCAATATATATTCATCTTGTAAAAAAACAGACATTCGAATATTAAAAAGAATATTAGATCGTAGGGAAAACAAACTATCAGGGCTGCTGAATGCAGCGCATGACGGGAGTCACACAACGTTGCTCTCATTGGTTAGAAATAAACAAGCGTAATGATGGCAGAGAAGTGTGGCTCTGTGTCCGTTACATCATGTCACGTGAGCTCCACATCAGGCTGGAAACGTGCCGTCTTCTGACATTTGTACTTTGAAACAGAAAACGTGATATTTACTGGAAATGAAAAACAATATAGCCAATAGCAAGTAGAAAACTTTCAGGCAATCTGCAGTGCCACTTGAATTATAGCTTTTGTAGTGAGAGGAGGAGGGGTCGTACAGATAACTTCACTAATAAGCCTCTCCTTGTCTCCTTGTCAATTGCATCAGTTTGAAAGTGAGGAACAAATAGAAACAGGATGTTCCAGTAAAAGTTCAGCTCAAAACAGTGCTGTGTCGCTGGGGACAGTTATAACATCTCATGGACATAATACGCAATAATAGATATGAATAGTTCGAACCCATGTGTATTTGTTTTTTTACAACTAACATTCAAAGGTCATTTTGTGCCACATTTTGACAGGCCTAATAGCATCACAGTTGTGCAAGAAGGAGTCAGGAAACTTAAAAGTTGTGTAGTTGAGATGAAAATGAACGCAGAGTTTGAACGTGGTTGTGGTCCGAGCAAGGGTGCAGGAAGTAGACGGGTCCGAGGTGGGGAAGGGTACATTACACTATTCGGCGTCACGGCTGGTGTGATCCCATCGCTAGCTGCTCTCTAGTTACTTTTGTCTCGATCGTGGCAGACAGACTCTTACCAGGTCATGATGATTCAGCAATAAAGCTCTGTTTGCTCTAATAAGAAAACTGCAGCATGTATTAGGGTAACCCGAACCCTAACCCAAAGTAACGCAGGAGTGAACTTCCCTACTTTCATATGACAGTAATTGGAAAAGTAATTCAATGAAGTATTTGCACAGCTCTGCCTGTTTGTCATGGGGATGTTCCAGTTGTAATGAATGGGCCCGGTGTTCAGCCCATTACTCAAGGCTGATGAGCAGTTCAGAGTTCAGCTCCAGCCGGCCTCTATCATCGCTGATAATCCCTCTGATGCTTCGCTGGAGTTGGAAATGCACAAACTTAAAACACAGTTTTATTCTTTTTATCTTTTGTGAACCACAGCCAAGTTAAGCATCACACGGCAGCACGGACCTGTTCACCACCTGTTAGCAGGGAACAGATGCAGCCACAGCTTACTACAGAGGTAACAATCCTCACACTTCATACTGCAGCCACAGCTTACTACAGAGGTAACAATCCTCACAATTCATACTGCAGCCACAGTTTACTACAGAGGTAACAATCCTCACACTTCATACTGCAGCCACAGTTTACTACAGAGGTAACAATCCTCACACTTCATACTGCAGCCACAGTT